TGGATGTGGTCCTACACATTTTCTTCTGCATTACTTCTGGTTATAAGTATATTAAACACACATGGTTCACTGGACCTGAAGAAATTCTGTAAGATATCCATTACTATTTCCTGCTTACATTACCTAGAGCAGTTATGTTTTAAAGCTGAAAACCTGTCTGATACACTTAAGTAATGTACAATTTATCTTAAGTCTGATATTTATATTTGTAATTTCTTCCCTGATAGTAAGACTCTTTAAGGTCTGAAAATAATGTTATTTCCAGTACTTACTTTTTCACTTTCTTACTATACAATATGCGGATGGGTGAAGGGGTATGCTCAATTCTATCAGAATCATAGGAGGTCAATTATCTTATTATTATCAGACTCAAAAAACACCTAATAATCCTCCTTTGAAAAGTACTTCTTTATAAATAAACTTTGCAATAAAAGAACAGTGATAATTTTTAAAATTTTACTATCTTCCATTTTCTCCAGTTTAAAAGCAAACAATTACTTTCCATTTTATTCAACAACAAACAAGGTTTACTTTCAATTTGGTGGTTTGCTGATATCAGCCAGACTAGTATATTTCAATAAATACAAATTACACAGCTAATGAAATAAAATGGGCACTTAAAGCAATAGTTTTATGGGAAATTGGTAATCAGCTAGCTGTAAAATATACTTTATTTATAGAAAACTCAGAAACAGCCAGAGAGGAAAGTATTTTTAGATATTACTGAAGTATTACTTGATCATTTTAAAGGAAAAATAGCATAATCAGCAATCCCAGGAGAGACAAACCTACTTTCTTTTCTACCCCCTATAAATTAGCTATCTGGATAACATACCTTTACTCTTAAGCTTGCCACGAGCTAGCTATTTGACACTTCAGGTTAAATAATAATAAGAAGCCTCCAGGGAACAGTAAAAACCCACCACAAAATGTTTGAGTTGGGAAAGAAGAATGTAGAACTCTTCCCATTGTCTATGCTTAAGAGCTTCCTAATTTAACCTGAACTTATTAGAATGAGAAAAATTAATTTAAATGACCCTAAAACAACCTTTCACTTCTCAATGAAAATTTCATTTTAAAGAACTATTAAGAAATTTTAGTGTCTATAGGACATCCAAAAATTATAGCACTATCAACGATAACGGAAAATACAATTACTCACAACTAAGGCAATTACTACAGTTTCATAAAAACAAATATAATCAGACACATATATCTTGATAAAAATTTCTTAAGAATTCAATCAAATATATGACTTCCACCATTTTCAAAGGAAAATGTTGCCACTAGCCCCCACAACACTAAATATGGCCAACAGTCTTTAAAAAGAAATTCTCTCCACAAATACTCATAGCAACATATTCATAATAGCCAAAAAGCAAGAACAACCCACATGTCCACCCGCTGAAATGATAAACAAAATATGGTACATATCCTTACAATAAAATATTTAGCAAAACAATAAAATGAAATTCTGATGCATACAACATGAATGTAACCTTAGAAATAATATGCTATGTGAAATACTATATTAAACTAGTCAACAAAGACCACATATTATGTGATTTCATTTATATTAAATGTCCAAAACATGAAAATCTATAAAGAGAAAGAAAGTAGATTAGCAGTTGCTGAGAGCTAGGGTGATTGAGGGTATGTGCTGGGTGACAGCTAAGGAGTGAGAGGGTTCTTTGGGGAATGATGAAAATGTTCAAAACTGATGGTGGTGAAGGTTATACAACTCGGAATATACATAAAAACATTGAATTGTATGCTTAAAGGGGTAAATTTTATGTGATGTGAATTTTATCTCAATCTGTTACAAAATCATTTTAAAATTGTATCAACTCTTTAGATAGACAAATATAGTTTTAATTTCAAGTCTTAACTGTCTTCTATAGAACAGTAATTATAATTCCAAATTGTTAATCGATAGTTGTCTTTCAGGGAATTCTATATTTACTAACTAAATATAACTTATCATAATTATTAAAATTTCCATAACATCATACCTTCAGTAAAATAAGAGTAACTACCCATATAGAAATGAGTAAATTTACCGAAGAGTTTCTTTCATTCCTGTAATTTGCCTTAAAGTTCGCATGGCAATCAATTAAAATTTTAAAAGATCAGATAGATTTAACTTAATGTCTATAACCAAAACAAATTTAATATGCCAAATAAGAATTATAAGATTATAACAGTCAAACTTTCCAAATAATGAGTCAGTCATGTCATTTATTTAGGCAAAACATGACTTTGTTCTTAATAAGCTCTTCTTTATCCTGTCTCTCACAGCTTAAAAAATATCACATAATACTGCTGTAAACAAAATGGGGGGCCATGGTTTTACAAAATTTTTATACTTTTGATTCTGAAATAATTATAGATTCACAGAAACTTGCAAAGAAAGAAAAAAATACACATGTAGGTTCTGAGTATTCTTCATACAACATCTTACATAATTATAATGCAATACCAAAACCAGAAAATTGAAATTAGTGCAATCCAAAGTTTATTCAGGTTGTACAGGTTTTATACTCAGTTGTGTGTGCATATACAGTTGTGGTCAATTTTATTACATGTGTAGATTTGTAGCCATCACCAAAATCATGACACAGGTTTCACCACACAAGACTCCTTCCAGACTCAACACTTTCCTAGACCCCATCCCAAACCTTTGGCAACCCTAAACTATTCTCCTTCCATGTATTTTGGTCCTCTCAGGAATGTTATGTAAATGCAACCATACAGTGTACAACCTTCAGGATTAGCATTTTTCAATTAGGATAACTATTTGGAGAGTCATGCATATTGTGTATATTATCAATACTTCGCCTCTTTTGCTGAGTAATATTCTAAGGTATGGGGATAACATAGTTTATTCACCTGCTGAAGAACACCTGGCTGTTTTTCACTTTGGGGTTAAGACAAATAAAGCTGCTATAAAAACCTGCTCATTTTGTGCGAACTTAAGTTTTCATTAATCTGTAATAAATGCTCAACAGTGTAATTACTGGACTGTACAATAAGTAACAATTTTAATAATCGATACTGGTAATGTTTCCAAAGAAAATGAAGATCACATTCAATCTCCAATCTCCACAGACTTTTTTTTAATTTATAAAATTACTACTTAAAGCTACTATTTACTCAACACTTATGCTAATGAATCAAGCACCATACTAAGCATTTTAAATACATTATCTCATGTAATCCACGCATTAACAATGAATTACATACTGACACTATCCCCATTTTATAATAAGGAAAAAGGAGGTACAGAAGAGGTTTGGAAGGTGATCCAGAGTCACAAAGCTAGGATATAAATAGGTCGGACTTGGGGATTAAAGATGGTGGAGTGAGAGGTGAGACAGAGGCTTCCTCCTAAAACTGCATATAATATGAAAATATGATTAATACAACTAATCTTGAAAGGCACCATGAAAGAGGACTGCATTGGGGTATGAGTGGGGACTTGATAATATGGGTAAATGTAGTAACCACATTGTTTTTTCATGTGAAACCTTCATAAGAGTGTATATCAATCATACCTTAATAAAAAAAAATTTTAATAAACAAACAAACAAATAAATAGGTAGACAGATAGATAAATAAATAGATAGCTCGGACTTAAATTCAAATAAATAGATAGCTCGGACTTGAGTCTGCCTGACTCAGAGGTCTATTCCTCTCTTCACAAGACACTGCAGCCCCCACTTGTGTAACATGTGTGTGATTAGCTATAAGAAGTATATGTTAGTATAAAAAAGGTCTTTATTTAAAGAATAAAGTTTGCATACAACTATTATAATTCATAAATGAGATTTTTTTAATTAGACATGATCTCTAATTCAATATGTTGTACAAATAACCAAAATTAATCTAATAACCTACTGGTGTTTACACAAATACAAGTAAAAGGTAACTAGAATAGTATAAGAAAATTCACCACACAAAAAGGTTCAAATACTCAGTCATCAAGCCTGCACACTGCCCATAGAAACAAGTCACAGCAACAGGATTATTCACACTGTCATCAGGAAAGTCAGTCACAAAAATCGTCATCAGAAATGTCATAATAAATTTATTTATTTAGCAATTCCTGACATTTTCTGACTTTTCATCAAATACCATCTTTTTTTTTAATTTAACACTAAGAATTGGCTTTTCAATTCCCACCACCACAAGAAACAATAAAATGACCAAGCTACACAGAGCTTTAAAATAAAATTTTAAACTATAACTTTTCACTATTAAGTGTGAAATAGATTTACTTCATAGTTATTAGAACCTTGGTTTCCAAATTTTGCTGCACATTAGAATCACCTGAGGATCTTTTTAAAATTCCAACAGCCAGGTCACAATCACACCAATGAAAATTTTTTAAAAATTGGAAGTGGGAGTCAGGTGTCAATATTTCCTTAAAATACTCAGTTTTGATTAGCAATGATTATTTGTAACAATAATCAGCAATAAAAACTCTTGTCTTTTTAAAAAAACAATTAAATGAATATTGATTATGCAGCTTAGAAACTATAATTCTAAATGTGGCTCTTGGAGAGGACTTAAATATCTTTGAAAATCTCTCAAAGTGTACCTTGAATCTCTTTATTACTCATGTAAACTCAACTTTTCAGATATAAAACCTATCACAATGAGAAACCATAATTCATTTAATTGCCAAAACTTCTTAGAAACTATCATAATGAACTAATGAAACTAACATAGAATAAATAAATCATGAGACAATGATTATGTATTTTACCGAGAAATCTAAAGTTAACTTCCAGGAATGTAACCTAAGCCAATAATCATAGGGGTACACCAAGTTGCATGTGTAAGATAAATAATTATTATAGTATAAATTAGAATGCTATGTATTTATTTAAAATAATACTATAAAATATTAAATGGCATGCAGGGTTTCATACTATAGTATTCAATATAAGTCAGTAAGAAAAGTTACAAAACAGCATAGATGATAAACATGAACCTACTTGTAGTTGGACTGAATTGTGCAGAAGACCTTCCACAATAGAAGAAAACCTGTCAATTTTTCTTTCTTCTCCGGTTGATGTTAAAGCTTCTAAAACTTCTTCAAGGCTATTGGAAATTTTGAATTATTAATTAAATTGCAAATAGCAAATAACTCAAAAGCCATGATACGATTGCTTGATCTACTAAACTCAGGAGTCACTACTTCCAGACAACCGATAACATTTTAAAAATAATTTATTGAGTACATACATGTACCAGACACTGTTCTAAGCATGTTACCCAATTTGATTCATTTATTCCTCATAATGATCTTATGATATGTTTACTTACGAAATATTTATATAGTGCTTACTACACATCAGGCACTATTTGAATCAGTTTACCAATACCAATTCATTCTAATGTATATAGTTCTGTGAAGTATCATTATTATCCCATATTACAGATTAGGAAACTGAGTCAGAAAAAGGTAAAGCAACTTGTCCAAGGTCTCACCTACTAAATGGCAGAGCAAGAATCTGAAATGAGACAGTCTGTGTAGTAAGGATTATATAAATGCTCTAAACCACCCCACTCCACTTCCTCTAGAGTGGCAAGTGAAGTTCAGTAGCCAAAAATATATAGTAGTAAGGAATTATAGTCAAATTATATATATATAAAATACACACACACACACACACACACACACACATTCTCTACAGTCCAGGACTATGTACCTTCAACTAGTAAAATACTACTATTTACATCACTTTGAAATCTGCCTTACACAGAGATTTTTCAAACAGTATGATGTTTGTTTTTACAAGGGAATAGCATGACCTACAATTTGAATTAATTCTACCTACCTGGAAAAAAAATCACTGAAGAAATAGAACCCCATTTGTATATTTTTCAAAGTCTTGATTTACTGTTTTTATTTACAGTTTGAGTTCCAAACCATTTAAAACAAATATGATGAAGAAATCAAGTTTTCATAGAAAAATGTTAGCCCATAGCTACTCTATCAATTAAGAGAAATAATTATTACTCCTTTATGTTCAGTCAATATGAATCTAAATCAGCTGTTTAAGTATACTTCATTTATTTAAAGTAAATTCTAATTAAAGTAGGATAATAACATTATGTAATAACTTAATCCAGTTTGATTCATTTAGAAAAATACATTGAGAAGACTTACATGTTTTCCTCTCCTACAATGCATACCGCAGAAAGGAGTTTAACCACATCTGTCATCATATTCGGGTGCTCAGGATCAATGGCTTTGGCCAGTAAAGAAAGACTCCTCTCTTCACTCATAATTCTTTTCAAGCCATACTGTAACATTTTAGAAATTTGAGGTTAAATGTTAACAGTTGAAGAAATAGTGCCCTGAAGGAAATGTACTTATCAAAAAGAAGTTTATAGAATAATATATTTTTTACATTTAGCAAACCTGGAAAATATAAGATGTGCGTAACACCCTAAAAAATTCATGTAAGTGTTCACTTTACATCAAGAACTCAGAATCAGCCAAACACAGACAACCCTTTGAAGGTGATTTAACAACAGTATGACTGATTATTATTAAGATGGGTAAGTGGCCAACTGGAGAAAGAAAGAAGCAGTGAAGGACAATGAGACTGCCCAGTAGAAACATACAAAACGGTCGTATATTGAACTGCACACTGAGGCCATGAGGAACATCCCTGGGAGGGAAGAATGGTAAGAGATATACTACCACAGCCTAATACCCAGATCAGCCCTGTCCCAGAGAAATATAATGTGAACCACATGTGCAATGTTAAATTTCCAAGCAAAAAGTATAACTAATTCTAATAAAATTAATTCAACATATCCAAAGTAGTATCATTTCAACATGTAATCAACATAAAATATTTGTTGATGAGCTATTTTAACTATTTTTTCCTTTCCTACATATTCAAAACCCAGTATGCATTTTTACTTACAAGCACATGTCAATTCAGACCAACCACATGACAGGTGCTCAATAGCCACGTGTGGCAACCACATTACACAGTACTGGCCTAGACTGTAACACTTAGTTTTAAATGGGCAAAAGTTGAAGGATGATTAAGGCAGATACCCAAATAGAATGTATGTAGAAATTGCCCTAAGGAGCATATGTATTCTAATCAAAATGATGTTTTAACATTAGAAAGTCAATGCAGTTGTAAACACATTGTATAAATGGGTAATTTTGGATAAGGATTAAGTTTGTTTGCTACTGACAGAATGTCATATCCAATTAGAAGATAAGGAGGTACATTAATGACTTAGTGTTTGATTTAAAGATGTATACATCTCTTAGGGCCCACTTAACAATCTATGGGAGATAAGTATCAAATAACAGAGGATGAATAGAAGCAATAAAACAATACTATTTATCTACTATGCATCCCTTGGGGATTCTTCTGAAGAGTGAGAAATTGGTTGATTAGAATTCCTACTAAGCACTAAAAAGGACCTAAATCCCAATTACAGACCTATGAACTATAGCTTAACTCAAAATTAGCACTAGATAAAAGTATCAAAGTTGGATCTATAAGAAGCTTAGACCCAAATGCTTTGAGTATTATGAAATCCAATTTTTAACTTTCCTATCTTGTACATGGTGTTTATGTAAAGAAGCCTTCATACTGTATTTGCTTTACACTGCTATCTAAGGAACACAGGCACAAAGAAAGAAATAGAAGCATAAGGGCCCAGGGCCCCAGGATATGACTTTTTGGGGAGACTACTCTGTCTTGTTGGTGACAGGAAAGTTTAAAAAGAGGCAGCTCTATCAGCCAGTTAATGCTGACTTTTGTGATACCCTGGGCTGTTTCATAACTAGAAACAAAGAAAGACAAAGCAAACATGGGGCCAGAGACTACAAAATGCCTTGATAGTCATTGCAAGAAATTGTCAGAGGTTTATCAAGTACCACTTAGATTCAATTCAAAAAGTCAATTGGTTAATTATTACCAAGGGCTGGCTCTGTCCTAATAAACCTGAAGATTAAGGAAAGATTGCCTTAGCATTTCCCCTCATTTCTCACTCACGTGGCTGTCCTTATCCAGTGCTTGCCCTTCTGGAATCAAAATCCTGTGGCCCCTCCAACCACTCATGACAAGTGATTTCCTCCAACTGACACCACTAACCTTCTCTGTCAAGCCCTCTGGCCATAAGGAATAATGCATCAACAGTGGAAAAGGAGCACTCTCTTATTTCAGTTTTCACTATTATCCCATGACCCCCACCTAAGCTGCATCACAGGCAATATTCTGACTTTACTAACGTAAAAACGCATAGTGCTCATTTTCAGACTGGAATGAAGCCAGATTACATCTAGTGTCTATAACAAAAGACAGAGTTGTTACCTACTTATATAAAATTACTCTCATTCAATCGTTTAAAAAACAAAGCAAAGCAAAGCAAAACAAAACAAGAACTGTTGACTATGAGAGAAATAAGTCAACGTACCAGTGCTGGCATTTACACTGCATTAAATGAAGGCTACTATAAATTAGAGGGGTCGTGTCAAATTTTGGAAGGTCTAAGGATGTCTCTCTACTGAATGCTAAGCACACACTCTGAATTATATGAAAACTCATGTGCTCTAAACTGAGAACCAATGACAGATTCCATTTGCATTCTATGTAAGGCCTATTATTACCTAACAGATGGAATTTCAGATCATTGAAGACTGTTAGAAAGGGGAAAGTTAGTATCTTAAATCCCTGAGTAGCATGCCCATGCTACACGAACACTGGCGTGCAATACCCACGGCAAATTAATCCCAGCAGCAGAGATAAAGTGGGTGAGGGGCTGGCCTCAGGAGCAAAGCACATTCAATGTGGGTGCATAGCTCACAGCAACATACCAAAACATTAACTAACCAAAATGAAGTCCCTGTTCTAATTACCTTTTAATTTCAATATATTTAAATTTAAATCATTCTGATTTTTTTTCTAATATTCAAAATCTTCTTCCATTTAAAAAATACTATTTAGTCTAGTTATAAGAAATTCATTTCCATCTGATGCTTTCAAACTTGCTCATTATATTAACTATATAAGCACTAGTACCAAATAAGGTACCACATTTTTGGCTCTTAGAGCTTCTAATTTTCATCATTCTGTGAACTTGTATAAAGACTGTACAGTGAAGTATAGGAAAAACCATCAACCAATCCTGGCCCAAAAAAAACCTCTACAAACAACTTCACATATTTTTATTAAGTTTGATAAATTAAAAGTTCCAACATTAAGTATCAGCAACTTTTTAATCTTATTATCCCAGATAGCAATAAATGCAAATAGCAATATATTTCAGCTCCACACAGGCAAAACAATCTACTAAGATTATAAATTACATTGTATTAGAATATAAATAAAGTTTGCACCATCTCCAATTCAGTCTCAACAAAATAGGAATTTTATCTTCTACATAGCACCTCATTTTATTGACATTCGTCTCAATTCAAATTATAATCCACTTACCCCTTTGGTATTAAAAAAATGTTCCTTGGTTTCCTCTACTCACAGCCTTCCCTTCACCAGTAAAATCTCTGATTTCTATATTCTTACTTTAGAAGAGAACTCCCTACAGCAGTATTGTGAACTCAGTATGTAAAGATCTCTCCCTATCAGCAGTTTGACTCCTTTCTTCCTTTACTATTAAAACATACACGCATGCCTCAGAGATATTTTTGGTTTGCTTCCAGATTACTGCAATAAAGCCAGTCAAATGAAGTTTTTGGTTTCTCAGTGCATATAAAAGTTATGTTTACACTAACCTTTAGTCTATTAAATGTTCAATAGCATTATGTCTACAAAACAATGTAGATTTAACAATAATTTAATTTAAAAAATGCTTTATGGCTAAAATGCTAAACATCATCTGAACTTTGAACTAGTCTGTCTTTTGCCACTGGAGGCTCTTGTCTTGATGTTGATGGCTGCTTGACTGATTAAGGTGGTGCTTGCTGAAAGTTGGGATGGCTGTGGCAATTTCTTAAAAAAAGACAACAATGAAATTTGCTGCATCATTGAATTTGTAGCATGCAGTGCTGTTTGATAGCATTTTGTCCACAGTAAAACTTCTTTCAAAATTGGGGTCCTCTCAAACCCTGGTCATGTTTTATCAGCTAAGCTTATGTAATATTCTAATATTCATTGGTATCACTTCAACAATCTTCACAGCATGTTCATCAGGAGTAGAGTACATCTTAAGAAACCACTTTATTTATTTATCCATAAGAACAACTCCTCATCCACTCAAGTTTCATCATGAGCTTGCAGCAATTCAGTCATATTTGCAGGTTCCACTTCTAATTCTCGTTCTCTTACCATTTCTGCCACATCTGCAGTTACTTCCTCCCCTGAAGCCTTGAACCCCTCAGAGTCATCCATGAGGGCTGAAACCAACTTCTTCCAGACTCCTCTGAATGTTGCTTTTTGACCTCTTCCCATGAGTCATGGATGTTTGTAATGGCAGCTAGAACAGTGACTCTCTTCCAGAAGATTTTCCATTTACTTGGCCCAAATCCATCAGAGGAATCACTATGTATGACAGCTATAACCTTACAAAATGTATTTCATCAATAATAAGACTTTAAAGTCAAGATTACTCTTTGACCTATGGGCCACAGAATGGATGTTGCATTAGCTGACACAAAAACAACATGAATCTCATTGTATGATTGTATGTCTCCGTCAGAGCTCTTGTGTGACCGGATGTATTGTCAATGAGCAGTCATATTTTGAAAGGAATATTTTTTCCTAAAGAGTAGGTTTCAAAGTGGGCTTAAAAATATTCAATAAACCATATTGTAAACAATCGCACTGTCATCTGGGCTTTGTTTCATTGATAGAACACATCCAGAGAACAGTTAGCACAATTCTTAAGGTCCTAGGATTTTCAGGATGTTCAATAAGCACTGACTTCCACTAAAAGTCACCAGCCTCATTAGCCCCTAATAAGAGGGCCTGACCTTTGAAGCTCTGAAACCAGGCATTGGCTTCTCCTCTCTAGCTGTGAAAATCCTAGATGGCATCTTCTTCCCATAGAAGGCTGTTTCATCTGCATTGAAAATCTACCTTCAATGTAACCACCTTCATGAATTATCTCAGCTACATTTTTGGATAACTTGCTGCAGCTTCTCCATCAGCACTTGCTGCTTCACCTTTCACTTTTCTGTTGTGGAGGTGGCTTGTTTCCTTAAACCTCATGAACCAAACCCTGCTAGCTTCCAGTTTTTCTTCTGCACGTTCCTCACCTCTCTCAACCTTCATCAAATTGAAAAGTGTTGGGGCCTTGCTCTGGATTAGGCTTTGACTTAAGGGAATGCTGTGGCTGGTTTGATCTTCTTTCCAGACCACTAAGACTCTTTCTGTATCAGCAACAAGGCTGTTTCAGTTTCTAATCATTTGTATGCTCACTGGAGTAAAATTTTTAATTTACTTCAAGAACTTTACCTCTGCATTCACAAGGGGAAGTTGTGAAACTGTTATTTTCACTTGAACATTTGAGGCCATTGTAGGGTTATCAATTGGCTCAATTTCTGTATCACTTTATCTCAGGGGATAGGGAAGCCCAAGGAGATGGAGAGAGATAGGGAACAGCCTGTCAGTGGAGCACATATGACATTTATTGATTAAGTTCATCATAATTGGCATGATTCATGGTGCCCCAAAATAATGATAATAGTAACAAAGATCAATGATGGCAGATCAGCGTAAAAAATAATGAAAAAGTTTGAAATATTGTAAGAATTACCAAAATGTGATGCAGAGACAAAGAAGTGAGCAAACACTATTAGAAGAATGGCACTGATAGACTTGGGCAATGCAGGGTTGTCACAAACCCTCAATTTGTAAAAAAATATGTCATCTGAAAAGTGCAGTAAAGCAAAGCACAACAAAATAAGGTATGACTGTATTCAACAAAAGGCTATGCAATGTATCTCAAAGCTAATCCTCACAGAACAATGAATTCAATATAGAAAGGAATTGATTTCTACATCAGATATGTTCCTTGAAAATCATATCTGATTGGAAGAAGCAGGATGGAGAAAAATATTAATGAGCTCCAGAAAATTCTGAAAAATAGATAAATAATTCACTAAGATAAAAAATAATTTGGAAATATAAATACCTGCTAGATTTAATAAAAAGTAATACAAACATAAATAATTTAAATACCTGTACCTAAGTCTGCGGTCCTATAAAGGTTTACTTTAAAATGAGAATAAGACAAAATATTAAAAATTAGTCAGAAATATATAGATAGCTTTGCTATAAAACAAAAATTATCACACCACCATAGGTAATCATCACACCACCATCACATCTTTCCTGCTGCTTAATTGCAACTAAAACACCTATCATTATTACACACATCATGAGGTAGATGTGTTTAGATGTTGGAGCTAAACTCATAGCATGGAACAGACCTAATTTCTACAATTAACAATATCAAGGGAAAAAAAGAAAAAAGGAAGCACTGTCAGAGAACTTTAACTTCAGTAAAGAGCTCAAAGTATTTCTTGTACACTCTATAAATGCAAACTGCAGATCAACCATATTACCTTTGATCTCAATATTACTTGCATTAAGCATCACTGCTCCATTTATGGGACCTGTTTATATATATTTATATTTATTTCATTATACATTTAAGTTCCTATACTATGACAACTAAGTCCTTTGGTAATAAGTATTAAGGCAGACCACATTTAATAATCATGTATGATTTCAAAGCTGATCCATGCCATACTTCTAAAGATAAAGAGAGGAAGGGAGAGAGAATCTACAAATGAGGAGTTAAGCACCAGGTGAAGGTTCTTTTATCCCCAGGTTTGCTATAAAACTAGAAATCAATGCATTTCAGTATCTTCTCATTACGCACTGAACAGCTTACCAAAGCAGTTATCACTTGAGTACAAATTCTGTATTATATACAACTCCATTTCATACAAATTCCTTAAGAACTGGTGAAGAGCAAATACAAAATAATTACCCATGTACATACCTGTGTATTCATCAAAGCCTTCAGACACTGTATGACTTTATGCTGATTCTTCTTTACAGTTTTTTCTTGTCTGCATTGACATAAAAGATATCAGTGTTGGAATTATAATTGGACATGCAAATGTAGCTTAACTGAAGACAATAATTAGCAATATGCTTACATTTTGCCACTAATCAGTTTTTCCAGTATGTCCAGTAATATTCCAAGTCCCTCATGTCCAAAGCTTTCTACCCAACTAAAAAACAAAAAAGGTAGTTATATATTCAGTGTTCTAGTTTGTAATATCACAAGAATGCTATATATACAAATATTTCACATGTTACATTCTAAGCATAAATACAATATAATAGCAACACTGTGTATAAAATAATTCATAAGTATAATCTTAGTTGTGAAACCAGCAATAATGTTGGAATAATCCAATGACGTGCTCAACCTAGTTTGCACTTGGCCTGTGAAAGTTGACTGTGTCCATGTCTTCCATGTTCCATTTTGGTAGCTAAAATATCTACTGCGTCTTAAGTACTTGTACCACCAAAATCAGCAAATGCTGCCAATCAGAGCATCTTCCCTGACTCAGAGCTGTTGTTAAGTATTTACCAGTAGATATCACTGGGTAAGCCTCACTCTGGACTGTTCCTAAGGGCAGATTTTAGGTTTATATTCAAAGAGGGAATATTCAGATCTACATAAATATATTATTAAAAATGGAGGTTTTAGGGAAATATCCAAAACCACTAAAATGCAACCTTACAAAGGTTAACAATTCCCTAAGTTTCAATTGTTATCTAAAAAGAAGGACCATCTTTATTTTAAAATGTCTATTTTCATTTTGACAAAACTACCTCTAGTCCATAAACCCATGATATAATCCAAGTACTGTATGTAATTAGGACATCACTGCCAATAGACAACAGCTCACTTTGATTACAGAAAATCTACCAGAGTAGAAGCTGATGCATTCTTTCAATGGGGATTTGGAAAGCCTAGGACAACAAATAAAATTAAAACAATCTGTCTTCAAAAAAGTAGAGAAAAGGGAAAGATATAATAAAATATGTATATTTCTCTGGACATATATATATGTACAAACGCTCACAAACATATATATATACATACGTAGATATATTTGTGCATATTATTTTATGTGTATGTGGGTAGCTAAAAAATGAAATGTTAAAAAAGTCCATCCAATAATCAAAACCAGGGACTTATAAAGAATAAAAACAAGTTTAAGTCACATACCAGGATATATTACCATTTTCTTACTTCAGACACAATATAACATTTCTCATGAAAATAAGTAAAAATCAAATGTAAGATATTTACATGAAAAAAATTGTTTAAAAAAATCCTTCTTTTTATACACTTCAGTGAACAAAGCTTTAATTACCTCTAAATATTCACAATTTCTGATTTAGCCCTTCCTCCCCAAAAGATCAATTTGCCATTTAGATTGGAAGACTCTTGTTAGACTTTGTTACTCTTCTCTTCTCTGTCCAATGAAGGAACTAATTCAAGATACTCCCCCATTAAAGGAAAGACTAAAGATCACTATTAGAGTTGAGGTGAGGAAAAGTTCAATAGAACTTGGTGTTTTCAAAGGAGGATGCTACTTCAGAAGTGAAGAGTTTACTCACCACTATCTGCAACACACAGATATCTAAAAAGAAGGACCATCTTTATTTTAAAATGTCTATTTTCATTTTGACAAAACTACCTCTAGTCCATAAACCCATGATATAATCCAAGTACTGTATGTAATTAGGACATCACTGCCAATAGACAACAGCTCACTTTGATTACAGAAAATCTACCAGAGTAGAAGCTGATGCATTCTTTCAATGGGGATTTGGAAAGCCTAGGACAACAAATAAAATTAAAACAATCTGTCTTCAAAAAAGTAGAGAAAAGGGAAAGATATAATAAAATATGTATATTTCTCTGGACATATATATATGTACAAACGCTCACAAACATATATATATACATACGTAGATATATTTGTGCATATTATTTTATGTGTATGTGGGTAGCTAAAAAATGAAATGTTAAAAAAGTCCATCCAATAATCAAAACCAGGGACTTATAAAGAATAAAAACAAGTTTAAGTCACATACCAGGATATATTACCATTTTCTTACTTCAGACACAATATAACATTTCTCATGAAAATAAGTAAAAATCAAATGTAAGATATTTACATGAAAAAAATTGTTTAAAAAAATCCTTCTTTTTATACACTTCAGTGAACAAAGCTTTAATTACCTCTAAATATTCACAATTTCTGATTTAGCCCTTCCTCCCCAAAAGATCAATTTGCCATTTAGATTGGAAGACTCTTGTTAGACTTTGTTACTCTTCTCTTCTCTGTCCAATGAAGGAACTAATTCAAGATACTCCCCCATTAAAGGAAAGACTAAAGATCACTATTAGAGTTGAGGTGAGGAAAAGTTCAATAGAACTTGGTGTTTTCAAAGGAGGATGCTACTTCAGAAGTGAAGAGTTTACTCACCACTATCTGCAACACACAGATCACCTGTAGGCATTTCAAATATTGCTTTCATGTTTCATGAAAACACCTACAGCATCTCACTTAACTGTCTGCCTTGTTGACATCCTATTCTGTATGTATTCTTTCAAATGTAGCAAAGAAGCTTGAAATCAAACACATAAAGAGTAATTTGAGAGTTTTACTTGGGCTTACACTGAGATGCATGAGCAGACTCTGCTTATCAGGCCCCCCCTGTGTTAATACCTCACAGTGGGACTTAAATATTTCATTTGAAGTGAATTTTCAACAATCTCTATATTCAAAACCATATCCATAAAGATGTTCTAAAGCTAATGTAAATGGTTTAGGATTATTCATACTGCTATCACTTTCAATCATTGTAGGGAATACTGTTCCTAAAACTGTCTCAGACCGAAACATACAAAGTAACTATGCTCATGTAACAAAATGACTTTGTTTCATCTAATATGGTGATATTGGAGCCCACCAGAAAATGTAGAAAGCATATCAATCCAAGTAAATCAAGTTAAGTCTTCTGGACTGATTAATAACAGAACACAGTTACTTTTAATATTTATCACCCCAATATAACAACTGTAACTAGAATACTGGGACCTACAGAAGTTCTCCCATCAACTATTGCTGGACCCACTATATAATTCCCTTCTACATAGTAGAGTATGAGTCATTGAAGTAAATATACACTAACACACAATACACAGAAACCATTTCTCTACAAAATAAACTTATTAAAGTTGAATGTATAGAGGCACTATACCCAATTACTTTACACTACAATCTTTTCACCCATGGTGGAAATAAATTTCTCAACAACAATAAAATCAGAGATTGGCAACAACCTTCTGAAAGCCAAACTACACTTTACATTTCAAAAAACATAATCAAAAACAAGAAAAGTCAGGTAGAATTCAGGGAGAGGAAGCTAAGATGCATGATAACAAAAAAAAAGCTTTTTAAATGTAAAAAGAAATTGACAAAGTACTTATCGAAAAGGTAATATTAAGACACAAATTAACTATGCATTAAAAAGCTCCCATTTTCTTAAAAATTTGCAAGGCCAACATATGGTATTACAGGCTGTCATTCACAATCTGATTCTCTCAAAACCTTTGCCTCAACCCTGCTATTTTCAGCAATTATTATTTTTAAGGATAGGGGCAAATATTACTTTCTCTATCTCTTCTAGAAAAGATGTTCAAGATAAAAAGTGATATTGAGTAGGTAGGTCTGTGATCCTGACAGAGGTTTATTGAAATCCACGGCTTTCTACAAAAGTGAAAAACTTCTCATCATCAATATAAGCAGCAACCTGGAGAAAAAACTATCAACTGACCTATAAATGATCAATCTTCAAGAAACAAAACCTGTGCTATTTACTGTGTGCCTGTCAGCATAGTACCATCAGGCACTAAGTGGTTTAACTACAAACTGCATTCATGGATGAATAAGCACTGTGCAAATGTTTGTCTTCATGAATAGAAATGATAGAGATTAGTATGACATTTGTATTGGGAAAAAATGCTTTAAAACAGCAAAAAATAAATAAATACTTAAGTGCTAAGTACTATTTAATGCAAAATCTAAATTCAGGAAGTATCAAAGTCTTCTCTTTCAATTACTTCAAGAAAAATTTTGAATTAATTACCATTTAGCACTTCCTAGTTGGAGTATAGGAGAAAGGAAGAGGTGAAGAGGTAATGGAAGGAAAAAAAGGAGAGAAGGAGAGCAGGTCTCTAGGATTAAATGTTCAAGCCATCTTAAAATGGTCAATGCAGCTTAGGCTTTGAAATCTGGGCATTGCTTCCAGAGACACAGGATGAAACCAAAAGTATGCAAAATGGTTTCTGATGTATTGTCAGCTTTATGAAGCAAATACAATCACTTCACTGAGTAAAAGAGAATCATCGGGTCTCAGATTGACTTCCTGGCCAAAGGAACAAAGCACTATACAGGTTATGTTTCCCACAGACTAAAGTTAAAGTTATCACCTCTGTTCCCAAATGTGCTCTACAGAAGAGAAAGACAAATTCATCATAGACTGTCAGAGCTGCAAATAAGGGCAACCTTACCTGTAGTATATACCTGGAGGATAGGGATCATTTTTTATTTGTCTTTAAATCCTTGGCACCTGGAACAGACTAAGCACTCAATAAATGGTTCTAGAATGAAACTGACTCGTCTTCCATTTTTATACATAAGGAAAGTAACATGCAGAAAGAGGTTAAGGTCACTTAGAAATAGCACCTGGTTCTGGTGATCTAAGGCTCATACCCTTTATATACATAGGAAAAGGTACAGAGCAATGACACATTCTATACAGCACTACTGACCCTATCACCTTTACTCCTCCAGGAACAGCAGTTCTGATCTCAGAACAGGTACTGATCCATACTGAACCAAGGACAATGGTCATACATCACACTTTAGGACTTCACTGTCTGTGACTTGAAGGGTAATGTTTCATTATTCTAAAAGACGTATTCATTAATGAAGTCAGCCTTGAGTAAGAGCTCACTGTGTGTCTGATAGTGCACAAGGCATGAGAAATACAGAGCTGAATAAAACATGCTCTCTGCCCTTGAAAGGATTACAAACTAGTGGTTGAAACAAATGAGGAACAAAATTATTTCCATAATGCAGTAAACACTCTCATCATGGTGCTCAGGGAACAGAAGGGCAGAATCTACCTATCTTGGGAA